AATAACTAAATTGTAAAGCTGGAATCATACAAACATAAAACATGGCATTAATGATGCATTATATTGGTCAATATAATTTTGCAATAATAATTAATATCATAGCCAAATAACTTGAAGGCAATTGCCAAGTTAAGAAAACAAAAATATTTCTTAGCACTTAATTTTCAAAATAATTTCAATTAATTCTGAAACGAAATTACATTGATATGCTGAGACATTGTTAATGTGTTTTTTCAACATTTATATTTTACAAGTTATTATAAAATGGTGTAATTTTACTAATTTTTTAATATAAAAAAAAAACATGAATTATATAAACTTGTATTTTTTTTAATAATATGCAGATTATATCTATTAAATATAATAGATATAATCTGGATATTATGTCTATTATATAAAGGTAAAACCAACAAATAAAACAATAAACCTGCTTGATAAAATAAACATAAGCTTGTTTTTCATGTTTTATAATGTAAGTCAACTTTACCTCAGGCATTATGAAATTCAAAAGTACTTACTGTTGATGCTAACATGCTGCCTCCAAACCAAACAGCATAACGTTGCATATGATGAGAAATAACTTGAACATCAATTGGTTTAGGCTGAAATTTTGACAATTTTTAGTTCCATATTATTCACATAGATATTAAAAAACTTTAAATTAGAGAATAATCCTAGTACTGATTATGTACACATATTATATAACTTTTTGGATATCCAGCTCTATATTGAAGATATGAAAAAACCAGTAATGTTACATACCAGTTTAGTGAAGTTTAATAAAATAATTTTAATTATACTAGATCTAACCCATCAAAAATTATGGGAGAAGAAATGGAAAAAAGGTTTTCTGAATCTCAGCTATTTTTCTGTTCCCAGGATAACTATTCTTTCAAGTACTAGGATCAGGAAAATTATTTTCTAGCTTGATTTCATCTCAACACATTTTATCACCATTTTAATATATGTATGTAATTAATTAAATACACGTTTTAAATTAAAATAAAAAGTTCTGTTATAAAGATGATGTTGAATTAACACACAAAATACAAGTACCGTATTTACTCGCAGATAAGACGAGGTTTTTATTCATTTTTCATTGCTTCAAAAACCTAGGTTGTCCTATATGCACGAGTGAAGGATTCTTTACGTTTTTGCAATAATTTTTGTTAAATAACGGTGTGTTTGCATTTTTTACTGCATGTTCACCCTCTGGTGTTTAAAAACAAAAGAATTTTATCTGTGTCATTTCAATCGTTCTTGTGTATTGTCAAGAGTAAAGATGAATAGCAATAAGAAAAGCAAAGCTTTTGAATTGAATTCCAATTTGAAATTCCAAAATCACACAGGAGCCCGATATAAGTTTTAATCCATTCCCACATGAAAACAGATGATTATTCAGAAATCAGAATTCAAAGAAACTCATAAGTGTAATCGACGGAGAGTGAATTCGACTGTTAAGTATTGGCAAAAAAGGTTCCCGATTGTCCAACTTTACATGAACAAATTATGTTTTCAATTTTACAAGATTTTTTTTTAAAGTTTAAAATGACAGTAATTTTTGCAGGACAATGTGTGCATTTGACATTTTATTTTTGATTAAACAAAATATAATGAAATTGTATTAATAAATCTAATTTTCTTTATTTTGATCTTTAAAGTCACACCTAGTCCTATATGCGAGATCATCTTATAAGCGAGTAAATATGGTAGTTCACACATTAATCCATCAATTGCTTCATTTCTCAGACAAAACATTCCAGGTTAATCAGCAAAAAATTTTGATTCTTGAATATATTGAGCAATATTAATGTTTAAACTAAGATATTTGATTTTTAATAACCACACTGTGTGACCACATTGTATAAAAAGATCAAAATAAAATAATCAGTTCTGACGAAACTGGTTGTTACATGTTAAAGAAAACATTTTTTCAAATAAAATAAAACAAAAATATTGTCATTTGATCCAGTTTCAAATAGGATGGAAGCTTTTATGTATAGAATAATAAATTATGGTTTATGTACAGTACATATGGAATGAGTGTTGGCACCAGCTTTACTGCTAATTTTCCTTTAAAGTACAGTAGAGCATCGTTTATCCGAATCAATTGGGGATTGGGGTTGTTCAGATAACTGATTATGTACGAAAAATATATTAACCTATTTATGTTGAAATTTTTCTCCATTGTGTGTCACTGCAAAATGTAATCGCCAAACCGCACTGTAGAAAGGCGGAAAAATTTTAAATTCAAAAACATAATTTCTTGTAAACAGCAGTTTGGGCCCCCCATCCAAGTGGACCCTGTGCAGGTGCACCTGTTGCACTTGCCTAGTTACGGCTCTGTTATGAAATATAGTTCAATTTATAAGAACTACATATTCTTACACATTAAAAAAATTAAATTAAAAGAAAATAATTGTTGCTCTGAAAGTATCATAATTGAAATAAGTTCATGACAGAATCTGTTACATTCTGTCATGAACTTATTTCTAAAATTTTACATTACATTTCTTGTGATATTTTTTTTCTAAAATGTAATGCATTTTACAAAATTAAAATTATTTGATTCTGCAAGTAAANAAGAGAATAGCAGATTATACATATATATAATATATATTTAATGTGATTGTTTTACCCAATGAATAGATGTGACGTTGCTCTTTTACAGTTTACCTAAACTTAGTCTAAAGTCAAAGAATAATTGATATTAAATACAAAACATTTTTTTTTTTTCTTATCTCTAAGGGTATTGGCGATCGTTTAAATATGTCTAGACAAAGGAATACTTGGAATATTTTAAATAAGATTGTTAATTCTCTCGTAGAGTTAAATGAAAATGAAAATTAATCTCAACCATCACAGCAGGATACTGCAAAACCAATGGAATCTTTTATGTCCAGTCTGGTTTTCCTGGAATTATAGGCTATACTGATGGAAATCATATGGCTATTAAGACATCAACGGAAAAAGCGGCGGCTTATTTCAATAGAAAAACAGTAAGTATTACTCTGTCATCCTATAAGTTTAATTTGTAATGAGAAAATGATATTTTTAGACTGTTTTGTGGGTGACGCTGGGTCAGTACACGATGCCTGTGTTTTCCGATGATCAGCATTGCATCAAAGAGTGCACTGGTGAAGGATTTTTCAGCTATGGCCATATTTTGGGTTATAGTACCTATTCGTTATCTGAACATTTGCTAAAGCCATATCGAAATAATGGGAATCTCAACAGCGTGCAAATATTATATAATAATAAATTATCAAACTGTAGAAATGAAATTGAGTATGCATTTGCACATCTCGTTTAAAAACATTTTTAGAGGTGTCAAATGGACTTGATTGTAAAAACAATTATTGGCGCATACATTCTGCACAATATTTGTATACACTTATGATGCGATAGAAGTAGATTATTATTATGATGAACAAGGAAGTGAAGAAACTACAATGATTCCTGCTGTCAGAAAACCTACGACAAAGCGTGATGACATTGCAAATGGAATGTTTGTTAACAATCCATTTGCAATGTCATCACGCTTTCAGTTTATGAAAATAGTCATCTGCAGCTATTGAACCTTACAATAAAAAAGTAAAGAATATTGTAAACCTTTTATACAATAAATAATTGAAATTTATGAATAAAAATATTTTCTGCCGTTTTTTTTTCCAATAATAGCGAGGTTGCGGTCGAAGTCTTCAACTCAAAAACATCGAGCATGATTCCACTGATGTTCAAACACCATTGTCAAACTTCTAGGCTTACAGTAAAGCGGCGCTGAACGTCCGACGTTCACGTTTTCGCGTTGAAAACTTCGGTCGCAACCTCCCAATAATTTTCATTATTATTAGAATGTCATTTTCATTTTTTTGTACAAGAAAGTAATTTTGTGGTGGGAGCAGCTGTATTGAATTAGCGCAAAGCGCAACAGAGAACTAGCTAGCACATCGAGCTTACTAATTCCGTTAAAAATGACGTCACACAACTCTAAAGTAAACGCCAATGAGGGCGTCGCTCGTGCGAAAGTAAACTTGTTGAACGTGCTGACAGTGAAATTAGCTCAAAAGTAAACGCACCCTTAGTAGCCTCTTTCATTTACGCTACATATCGCTAGCTGCAAGTGATCAATGACGGTTGCTTCATGTTCCAATACGTCACTTACTAACTGAGAAAAGGTGTTTCAATGAGTAGCTGTTACGTAGCTGTAACTACGTAACAGCTACTCGTTGAAACACCTTTTCTCAGTTACAACTGTTGACTCTGTCAAACGCCGCGTGTTATATTCTGCAACTGCCGGGATAATATATAAACTGTTGATTGTTGTCATGTTTAGAAATAGAACAGCACGTGTATGGTGTGTATTTGAAGACAAAATTAAAAAAAAATTATCCAAAATATCGCGCGCGCTTAGCGCGGCCAATTTTACTATAATCGTGTCCCATCTGGATGTTAATCTGTGTTATTATCGAGGCTTTCCGGCCTTTTATCGCAGGAGACGATCTATTCAGTTACAAATTTTTGCGGTCAGCCAGGTTGACACGTTATCGGAGCGATTTATTAAGGTTTGTATATTTGAATCGCCTTTTATTACAGGATTCAGACTTCCGAATGGCCGAGCGGTCGAGGTGGTAGCCTACCGCTCTGGAAACCCGGATCGAAAAATCTCAAGGATTTTTCGGGATGTGGTCCGACCGTCCTCATTACCCGTCCGCGCCATTCTGGGCTTGGCCGAACCCATAATGAGCTTGTTAAAAGGATGGCTTCTTAGAGCCTTTTTACTTGTTTTTTTTTTTTTAACTCTCCTTTTCGTGTCCTGTGGGCACTAAAAAGAGAGTTTAAAAATCTACAGGACATAAAAAAATAAGATACAAATTTCATGTTACGTGGATCATTAAAAACGCGATTTTTTAACGACTTTTCGAAGAAAATAACTTTTGGTCGTGCTAATTATTTCATTTTCCGATCTGGCAACGTTTAAAACAGAAGTTTCGTGTAAAACATGTCTGCAACTTCCGGATCGGCACAATTTGGAAATTTTAATAATTATTACCAATTTAATCCCGTTGAAAACAGATTAAAGCTACTTCCAATTAATATACTTGATCTATTCCAAAACGAAGTCGATGTATTGATGCTCGATATCGGATGTAATGCTGGCGTAAGTATACCGTAAATTCTCAAATACACGTGTTTCCCGTAATTGACATGTTCAGCTGTTCAATTTCGGTATTTGATTTATTTACGAAATTCCACAATTATTCAAATACAATTAATAATTATATGTTTAAAAAAATGATTATTAAACGAATATTCGTTTATTAATTAATTTATGCATGCAGCTGCAATTGATTCTGAAAAATTAATGTTCCTCAGTACGTTTAATTTTTCTACTACTCATTTGTGCCAAAAACTCCTAGATAATAGATTGAATTACTGTTTTTTTTTTTATGAGTTAATACTGATTGTTTCCTTTAAAATGCTTGTTATAAATTAGATCTTTCTTTCAAATTTAAATAGATTCTCTTTCTTATCTTACTGTGATTATTTTCTTTTAATTTAAACCCAGAATATATATGGCAATTTATGAAATGAGAAACTGTTAATATGTGTCTGTATGAACCTATTGGGTGATCAAATGAGGAATATTTTTTAGTAAACGATAACAGCTGTCATTGGCTCAAAAATAGTTTATTGTTATTTTAATTAAAGTGTTGGTATAACTGGAAATGTCTTGCACAAAGACTGTTGTGATGGAAAGTCACAGAAAAAAGAAAGATGGTTTTGGTGAAAATATCCTTTTTCGTCTGTCTATAATTTGTTTACAAACTTTTAATAAATGACAGTCTGTAGGATCTATAACAAAGCATTTTATATTTATGATAACTTATCTGTGGGAAAAATACACTTTTATGAAAGGTACTTAAGGAGCACAGTCCTGAAGTATAATTCTATATTTTTTTAAGGTATTCTATTCCAATAAAACTAAGGTTTTCTAGTATACAATTATATTTCAAACAAAACAAAATAGCACACGGGTCACTAAATAAAATCAAATTTTGATGATAGTGATTCAATTTTAACATTATTACATTGTAAGATATTGTAGTTATTTTAATGTAATAAATATAGCTGTTGGTAGAAGTTGGAAGTGTTTAATGCTACTTTATACTGAGACTCGGAGATAGAATATTGAGTATATGTGGGAATTGTATTCAAAAAACAATATAATTGATCATTTCTTCATGCCTCCTGGAAAGGGTCTCGTGCTACACCAGTTTAGTGTTAATCTCAAGATACCAGATTATCTTATAATCCTGTTTCATTTTGCTATGAAAATAATCAAATTTTGACCTTATAAGTGTTGTCCAAAAACTTAAGAGTTGCAAATGTTATCTCAATAAACATTCAAACTTTGTTTATTGTGATATTCAGTATAGTGACAAACACAACTAGCTCGTAGCATCGAGTCTTCCTTGCAAATTGATCACTTACAGCTTTATTCACAACCAAGAATCAAGAGTTAGAATAAGAAGTTAACAAACATTCATGTACTGAAAGAAATGAATGGTAATTAGTTGACTTCTAACTCTTAATTTTTGGTTGTGAATGCAGCCATTGGAACAATAAGGTATGCTGCAGCATACCTTATTGTTCCATTTCTATAAATATTAAGGATATAAATAAAAAAATTCTCAAATCGTAATTTCAAATTTCATTATTTTAGATCTAAATAAAATAGATTGATCCAAGAAACTTCGTAGAGTTCCTTATCAATAAAAAAAAATGCTAGCATTACTTTTTTGGCATTAAAATGAATTGCATTTGTTAAGTGTAGAAGAAATCTATTATACAATAATTCCATCCAACACTTTGATGCTTGCTTTGATGACATATATATATATATATATATTATATATAATTACGTACTGACTGATTCACCACCACCCAGAGCAAACCGCTGAATTTAGAGGTGAAATTTTTATAGTGCATTCCTGTAATGACATACATAACCACTAAGAAATTAATTTTCAACATTCCACCTCTAAGGTGGTGAAAAGGGGGTACAAAAGTATATATTGGAAAACATATTTTTGGTCGAATTTTGTACTTTGTTGTGCAGATGGAATAAATTTGTTATCTTTTAAAAGTTTTTGTCTATAATGTCATTATCTTAATAAATATTTTTTGATTTGTTTAAAATTATAGTACTTAACTGATGTTATACTGAAGTTCAGTATTTTCCAGCTTAGTCTTCATTTATTCTTTTATAAGTTTTGTAATTTTTGAGTACCTAGGTGTATTAATATATAAAAAATATATTATATGCAACATGTAAAGAAAGTAAGCAATAGATAGCGCCATAGTATTTCTAAAGTGTGCTATAGTGTGAAACAAACAAAAATCAATAATTTTACCAAATTAGAAACAACTAATGATTTAGAATCTTAGTGAAGTACTGAGGGAGGGTTATTTCTATCAAATTGCAAAATCTGCATGGGTACAGCTAGTTGTTGAATATAATGACACCAAGATTTGTCCCAGCTATGCTTGAAAAGAAATGTTGCACTTTTAGTGAAGTAGCATGTCAGATGTTACAAGGATTTTGTTCATTGATGAGATGAAATTCTGAAAGCATATTTTGTGGTACTAGAGCTTCTTTATCATGTGAATGGAACTGTTACTTATATTCAGCTCTGTTACAATCATTACACTTTTGATGACAACTAACACTACTACAAATCACCAGATACAATTGTGAATTGCATGACATCCATACATTGGGTCAACAAATCATATTCAGCATGCAATACAGGTGTCAAATTACCTGTGTGTTCTGTTTTTAAACAAATGCCCCTTATAACAGAATATCTGAAGTTTTTCAAATATTCTGATCAAACAGACATTTAAGTGTTTTTGTGATACTTATGAGAAGTAGACTCGGCAATGCCAATGAGAAGTTTCATTTATCTCCTTGAATCCAAAGTAAATAGATGTTAAGATTTAAGTTTCTTGAATGTGTAACAGGACAGTAAAAGCCATAACAGTCTGTGCTCAAGGAATTACCAAGCTTACTCTTCACAAATAATTTTAAATATTTTTTTAAGAAAATCATTATAATTTAAAAAGTATTAGTTTCACAAAAATTTTCAATCTTAATGTCCCATTTTGAAAAACTGATTTAAATTTTCAAATTTCAGAGAATCTTTATTTTAAATTCAATACATAAAGATATTGTTAACAAAATTGTTTATAACCAGTATAAAAAACATTTCAAATCAATTTGCAGCAACACATTTAAAGAATCCAGATTTATTTCTTGCATATATTTTTAATCAATCAAAACTTTTTAAGATTTGCACTCTAAACAAAAGAAAATTAATCAATTGCATAAAAACGAGCAACAATTTTTTATACATTTCCTAATTACAAGGAATATATTAAATTTATAACACAATTGGCTCAAAATCCAAATATTTAGGACAAATCTGTTATATTAACGTGTAAAATTCTGATTATTAAATATAAATTTTAAAACAAAGTTCACGATTCCTACATAAATTTTATATGAAATTTTACTAAGCTACAGAAATATTCTAACAGATTTGTCTTTATAGATATAGCATTATCTGAATTTTTGAGAATTATTTGAAATGTCAAAAAATTTTTAAAAATATTTTACAGGACTTAACTATTGGATTCTATGAACATTTTTCTCAGAAATGGAATGTCGGCAAGCGAAAACTTCACATTTTTGCATTTGATTTAGACTCTTCACTTATAGATAAATGCAAAGAACTAAATCCTTATCCAGAGAATATTCATTATTTTTCATTAAATATAATGGAAGAATCTGCTTATAAAATATTAAAACAATTTCTATCTAAATTTAACAAGGAAAAATTTGATATGACCCTCTGTTTTTCTGTCACAATGTGGATCCATCTCAATTATGGTGATTGTGGTCTTAAAACTTTTTTAAAAAACACATGTAACTTAACCAACTACTTGCTGCTCGAACCTCAAAATTGGAAGTGCTACAGGTCGACATCTAGAAGAATGAGACGATTAAAATGTGACAAATTCCAAAATCTGGAAGACTCTGTGACAAAGACTATGGTAGAAAATATAGAAAATTTCCTTAATAGCAACTGTGAAGTGGAGAAAGTAAAGACATTTGGTATTACAAAATGGAAAAGATGTATTTTATTATATAAGAACAGTGATGTTTCAGAGATTTCAATTGAATGGAAAATAATATAGATTAATTTTATTAAAATTCATATTTTTTTCTAATGAAATCAAGTGTTAAATTTTCTATTATAACATTTTTCTACATTAAAAAAACAAGACAGCTCACTCTTGTTCTTAATACTGTTTTTACCGTCTGAATACTGATTAAGAGAGTTCATTTAAATTAATACTTTTATTCAAATATCACAGACACTTTTTATTTATATATATGAATTTATATATACTCAAAATGAATTTACTATTACTGTAAAAATTTCAATATACCACATAAGCAATAAATTGAAAGATATTAATTAACCCTGCTAAATACTAATAATACTATAAGCTGGTACAGCACCTGATAGACTAATTAGATTTTATAAGTGAAATTGTTATTTTTAATTATATAATTTTTTATAAAATAGTAGATTGGCAGGGATAATTGAAATTACTAAGAGACATGAAAAATTAATCTTCTGGAAAGCAGCAGCTCTCTGAAAACAATTTCAATAATTTCCTTTCAAATATAAAAAATTTAATTTTGATATTTTAGCACATTCAAAAACAAACCATCCTCCAATTTTTTAACTAGTTTTTTTTTTATATACTTACTTTAGGAAAAACATATTTATTGAAGCCAATAATGCTTTCAAAAAAGTTCAATAATATAAATGTAGCTTCTAAATTTGAAAAGATATTCCTGAATTAATTTTCAATTGAAACAACATAACTGAAAACTAACATCAGCCATTTTTCAACTTTAAATTAATGTATAAAAACAGAAATTACATTAATAAAAAAATCAATTTAAACCTAAATTACAAATTGGAACACATTATTTTGGAAATGGCAAATGTCTGAAGAAATTTTAATGATTGTGTGTGTATTTTATAACAGTGAATAACTTTCAATTATTTATAACTTGTTTAAAATTTTTACATACAAAATTAAACAACATTATTACTATACTCGATCATATATTACAACTAACAGTAGTAAATTACATTTTAAGATTAAAAATAGTCTCTACTGTATGTAAAGATAAACATTAACATAGTTCAGAATTGTTAATAGCAAGATATAATTATCTAAATTTATACTAGAACTGTTATAAAAACAACAACAAAATACAAGTTTATTCAATATTTCTGCTTTATTTTTCATTAAAAATTAACAGTACCACTTTGTAACTGAATATCAATTACTATCTAAGAAATATTTATATTCACCTCATTTATGCCATATTTAAAAAAATGCTCTGATTATAAACTTAACCGACACTTATTAAAGCATTAATAAAGTAACAGTAATCATCTACAGATGCAAATTGGCAAATATATTAAAGCTTGATAACCTGAATTTTTACAATTTGTAAGAAAAAATATAAATACAGACCCACCACCAATTTTCCAGCACCCCTGGCTGAACGTCCACACCCTTCCAACCAATTGGAGTCAAACGACAATTCAGCAGTATATCCTGGATCACAAATTACGTGTTTCTCGTGTCTCAAACACTGTAAATTTGCTGGAAAGTTAACTATATATTGTTTATATATATATAAGTTAAATGTAACTTGACATTTGGGCTCTATCACGCCAGTTTCTTTTTCAGAAATCATAGCTAGGATTAAGTTTAAGTAAAATGAGTTAAAAATCATACAGAATAAAAGGATTGCTAATGACTGCAATGTAGACAATCCAAGTTAAATGCCACATACAATACCACTTGTGGCTCTGGAAGTAATGAAATTTTAAGTGTCTTCTCATGATTTTTATCATCTGGATTGAGAGAGGTGCCAGAGAACCAGTGGTGAACTTTCATCTAATTTTAAAGAAAAAAATAATAAAATTGGTAATGCAAGTTTTTATCACTGTTTAAACAATGAAAATATTTTATTATTTTTTTTACTGTTATACAGATTTTTTTATTATTTACTATACAATATTGTAAATTTCCTGACAGTATCTTTATTATTATTATACTGTGTAATTTTTGATATTAAAACATGATGAAAATAATAGTACATAAAAAATGCAACATTATCAATTGGGTAGAATGTCATTATCAAATTTTTTACATCTGATATTTTCTATTTGCATAATCTCAATCTTTGAGATATTTTAGTGTACAAACTGATATCTCTGAAGCACACCTTTGTTGTGAAACAGTTACACCATATTAACAAAAATTAAATATTATGTCATTGTGCCAAAAACTGGATTATGACGACAAATGCTGGGTCCGTATTCTTCATATGCAGCTTTTGTGTGACAAACCTGATAAAATTCTGGCTGTAATTTAAAAATAAAAAAATTATTTCATGGTAAAATAATTTCCACAACTGAATTTAAAGAAATCTGCTTCTATTTATTACTAAAAGGTTAAATTAATAACTAAATTGTAAAGCTGGAATCATACAAACATAAAACATGGCATTAATGATGCATTATATTGGTCAATATAATTTTGCAATAATAATTAATATCATAGCCAAATAACTTGAAGGCAATTGCCAAGTTAAGAAAACAAAAATATTTCTTAGCACTTAATTTTCAAAATAATTTCAATTAATTCTGAAACGAAATTACATTGATATGCTGAGACATTGTTAATGTGTTTTTTCAACATTTATATTTTACAAGTTATTATAAAATGGTGTAATTTTACTAATTTTTTAATATAAAAAAAAAACATGAATTATATAAACTTGTATTTTTTTTTAATAATATCCAGATTATATCTATTAAATATAATAGATATAATCTGGATATTATGTCTATTATATAAAGGTAAAACCAACAAATAAAACAATAAACCTGCTTGATAAAATAAACATAAGCTTGTTTTTCATGTTTTATAATGTAAGTCAACTTTACCTCAGGCATTATGAAATTCAAAAGTACTTACTGTTGATGCTAACATGCTGCCTCCAAACCAAACAGCATAACGTTGCATATGATGAGAAATAACTTGAACATCAATTGGTTTAGGCTGAAATTTTGACAATTTTTAGTTCCATATTATTCACATAGATATTAAAAAACTTTAAATTAGAGAATAATCCTAGTACTGATTATGTACACATATTATATAACTTTTTGGATATCCAGCTCTATATTGAAGATATGAAAAAACCAGTAATGTTACATACCAGTTTAGTGAAGTTTAATAAAATAATTTTAATTATACTAGATCTAACCCATCAAAAATTATGGGAGAAGAAATGGAAAAAAGGTTTTCTGAATCTCAGCTATTTTTCTGTTCCCAGGATAACTATTCTTTCAAGTACTAGGATCAGGAAAATTATTTTCTAGCTTGATTTCATCTCAACACATTTTATCACCATTTTAATATATGTATGTAATTAATTAAATACACGTTTTAAATTAAAATAAAAAGTTCTGTTATAAAGATGATGTTGAATTAACACACAAAATACAAGTACCGTATTTACTCGCAGATAAGACGAGGTTTTTATTCATTTTTCATTGCTTCAAAAACCTAGGTTGTCCTATATGCACGAGTGAAGGATTCTTTACGTTTTTGCAATAATTTTTGTTAAATAACGGTGTGTTTGCATTTTTTACTGCATGTTCACCCTCTGGTGTTTAAAAACAAAAGAATTTTATCTGTGTCATTTCAATCGTTCTTGTGTATTGTCAAGAGTAAAGATGAATAGCAATAAGAAAAGCAAAGCTTTTGAATTGAATTCCAATTTGAAATTCCAAAATCACACAGGAGCCCGATATAAGTTTTAATCCATTCCCACATGAAAACAGATGATTATTCAGAAATCAGAATTCAAAGAAACTCATAAGTGTAATCGACGGAGAGTGAATTCGACTGTTAAGTATTGGCAAAAAAGGTTCCCGATTGTCCAACTTTACATGAACAAATTATGTTTTCAATTTTACAAGATTTTTTTTTAAAGTTTAAAATGACAGTAATTTTTGCAGGACAATGTGTGCATTTGACATTTTATTTTTGATTAAACAAAATATAATGAAATTGTATTAATAAATCTAATTTTCTTTATTTTGATCTTTAAAGTCACACCTAGTCCTATATGCGAGATCATCTTATAAGCGAGTAAATATGGTAGTTCACACATTAATCCATCAATTGCTTCATTTCTCAGACAAAACATTCCAGGTTAATCAGCAAAAAATTTTGATTCTTGAATATATTGAGCAATATTAATGTTTAAACTAAGATATTTGATTTTTAATAACCACACTGTGTGACCACATTGTATAAAAAGATCAAAATAAAATAATCAGTTCTGACGAAACTGGTTGTTACATGTTAAAGAAAACATTTTTTCAAATAAAATAAAACAAAAATATTGTCATTTGATCCAGTTTCAAATAGGATGGAAGCTTTTATGTATAGAATAATAAATTATGGTTTATGTACAGTACATATGGAATGAGTGTTGGCACCAGCTTTACTGCTAATTTTCCTTTAAAGTACAGTAGAGCATCGTTTATCCGAATCAATTGGGGATTGGGGTTGTTCAGATAACTGATTATGTACGAAAAATATATTAACCTATTTATGTTGAAATTTTTCTCCATTGTGTGTCACTGCAAAATGTAATCGCCAAACCGCACTGTAGAAAGGCGGAAAAATTTTAAATTCAAAAACATAATTTCTTGTAAACAGCAGTTTGGGCCCCCCATCCAAGTGGACCCTGTGCAGGTGCACCTGTTGCACTTGCCTAGTTACGGCTCTGTTATGAAATATAGTTCAATTTATAAGAACTACATATTCTTACACATTAAAAAAATTAAATTAAAAGAAAATAATTGTTGCTCTGAAAGTATCATAATTGAAATAAGTTCATGACAGAATCTGTTACATTCTGTCATGAACTTATTTCTAAAATTTTACATTACATTTCTTGTGATATTTTTTTTCTAAAATGTAATGCATTTTACAAAATTAAAATTATTTGATTCTGCAAGTAAAGAGTACAGACTCCTAACAGTTGATATAACTTAGTGAAAAATTAGTATAGTAGAGTTCTGGAAACTCGACTCTCAATAATTCAACACTCCACATCCTCTCAACTCCACACTCAACACTTGTCATGTCACCCAAAAAAAAGGAATATATGTAATCTAATTTTTATCTCTATAATGTAACATTAGGATCAAATAAGTTATCATTATTCACTGGCATACTTATTAATAGTATTAATTCCATGTGTTAGCCAAAAATATAATCTTACCAGATAAAAATTAAGACCACTGTCTATCAGCATTAATAAACATTAATAATTAAAGCACAAAAAAATCACACAAGTACTTTCAAAGATACTTACATGGTTTTTTGTGTTTTAATTATTAAAGTTTATTTATGCCAATGAATAGCAGTCTTAATTAGTTTCCTGACTCTGTTATATATTTATAAAGTATGACAACCAGTCAAAAAATGACCCTCCCCAAGATTTTTACACTTTTGGACTCAGGTGACCTTGAAACATCAAGCAATGAAAAAAATTCAGGAGTTTTTTTCTGTATGTATGAATGTGTGTGGGGGGAGAGAGACATGATTTTGTTCACCCTCTTCGGAACTTTATTTAATAAATTTTTTTGCTTTTTGCTTTTTGTTGAAATTTTCTGAAATTTTGCAGGGAAGTTTGTGTATTAGGTAGAGTGAAAGTATTGAATTTTGATGGTTAAAGATTGAGGGGGTGGGGAGATAAAGTAGGGTCAGACAATGATGGTTTTATTCGTTACTTGCATTTACAAGTTTTTATAAAACCCACCCCTACCCTCAAAATTAAGTTTTTTGCTATTTTAACAATTTATATGTGCAATACATAATATCCTATATATTCTTAATATACTTGTATATCAACTATTCTAATAACATAAACTAGTTTCTTCAAATTATGATTAAAAATTATAGTAAAATGGATGATCTATTGAAAGATCAAAACTCATAGAATAAACATATTTGTGCTAATTATAAGGGTTTACTTTTAATCACTAAAAGTAGAGTGACCAAATATCTTCAATTTCTGGGCACTGTCTCTGTTTTGCCAGTTTTTAATCTTTCATTGTAGAATCAATCTTTAAATAGAACAATTTACTTTGCATTGAATTTTCATTGATGTTAAGCATTGCGTAAATTTTTTAAAATAATAATCGTGGCTATTGTATTGTTAAAAATTATTTCTTTATTTTGTACAAACAAAATATATTGAAAAATATAAAAACAAAAAAAAATTATATTTCAGAAGTTAATCTAGTATCAAAAATGTTCCAATTCAGCATGACACACGTCCAAACACACAGTCCTCAGAAAAACACCATACAAAAGCAAAACTCTTTCTTTTTCTTGGGTTTATCTGGAGATATCAGCTGCTTGGATTATATTCTCCAAGAGTGGTGTTGAGCTGAAGCAAAATACCACTCGTGATGCAAGGTCCTAGAATATAGCTCACGAGGGGAAAAAAGCCTCATTCAAATACTGATGCGTATCATTACCCTCTCGATCATTCAAATACTGATGCGTATCAGTACCCTCTCGATGCGTATGAATCGAAACATTTTTGATACTAGATTAACTTCTGAAATATAACTTTTTTGTTTTTATATTTTTCAATATATTTATTTTGTTTGTGCAGAATAAAGAAATAATTTTTAATGATACAATATGGTCGTGCCAGTGATGCCAGCTAAAACATGCACACCAACAAAAATAATATTGGAGTAGCCCAAGACACAGCCAAATATTGCAGTGCCACAGCACTAGTGGAAATTTAAATTTGCCAACTGGAACGCTTTCGGTTAACTGTTTCGGCTTTCAGATAAATGACGCTCTACTGTAACAATTTCCTACTCTGATCTGGAAAGACAACTATTCCTCTTCACCTGATCCATGAAACCTGAGATAATTTCCAGTGAAATGAAATTTAAAGCTTTTGTTCTTTTCCTTTTTTTTTCTTTTGCATTTTCAGATCAAATCACAAAAAAAAAATAAACACAAAATATGCATTTTCATCACTTTACAAGTATTTTACACTGTGAGAAGACAAAATATGGAAATAAAAGATATATTTGTAGTTTCTGATGCAATGCCAATAATTTCAATTTCAGAATAGACAATGGAATCTGTGAGATACCACATAAACATTTGAAGGCAGTCATTTCACATGGCCCTTGCAGGATTAAAAATACTCCAATAAAATTTTTTGCTTTTTTTTTTCAAATAACCATTCATTATGAATTAATCCTAGCAATGGCAATTAAAATATCTAGTTAATTGACTAAATCTATACACTAATTAAAATAAAATGTTACCTTTATTCTTCCTCCGCCAAGTGTTTCACTCAGTTTTAATCGAGCATCCACTACACGTTTCAAATCCCTTTGCAGCCGTCGACCAAAATCTCTGAACATAGTTGAGCCACCAGATAAAACAATATTCTTGAAATATATAAATAATTTATTTTAATTTCTAAAATTCATGTTAAAATAAAATTATTGTTATGATGAGAACAGATTATTTCCATTCAATAATTTCTCAAAATAAAGCACCATTAATTCAATAAGAATTTGAAAAATGAAAAGTAAGCAAGTATTTTACTAACTTAAATAATGTGAAATTTATATTAATGATCTAATCTAATTTTTTTTTTACAAATTACACTAACCAATGTGATTTTTATCTTTGGGAAATAAAGGTGATTTCTTATTAATTCTGATGCCTACATTTTGAAAATCAGCAAGAAAATGTCACATGTCAGTTTTCAGATATTGTTACCCTCATTATTTATATTAGGTGTCTGTTTTATCAATGTAAACCAGTAGTAGCCTCCTAGCATCACTGGACACATGTAACCTTAGTATATCTCTTTTTCATAGTGGAAATGGCTTGGTGAATCTTTCACCATATTTATGACATACATCTCCAAGATGTTTTTGGGAAAAGCATCAATATGCACACTACAGAAATGTGTTGTGTCAAATGTCTTAAAATACATTTCTTTCATTCAAACCTCAATTTTTTCCCCCAAAATCTTGGAGATGTTAACCAATAAACATGGTGAAACCTATCACCAAGTTTCCACAATGGAATTTCTTATCTCATTTCCACTGTGGAAAAGAGTCCACTGATGCTGAGAGATTACTGCTGGTTCCTCATGGGAGAGAGTAAGCGGGTGTACAAGAGGAAATCAATTAATCCAAACAGCATTTTTAAAGGCAAGTTTATGTACACTTTAAACATTAAACACATGCAAACATTTTTAAAGTACTTAGCAGTCTACATGTCATAATAGAGATATTGCAAGTCAGCTCGTAGAGCAGCCACTTTTCATGCAAGGCTTTTGAACAATCTGCAGTTCCAAAAAGTGGTCTACATTCATATAAAATGTGAATTCCATCCTGATACCTGCCAATGTTAAAAACATTTCAAATAAAGAAAAAAACACATTCAACTGATTTTCACAGGTACAGTGCATGTGCTGTATCCATATGCTATTCTGTGTGTGTGTATGTACGTCATTACATAAAGATGTGTGTATATCTTTTGATCCTTATGTAAAAGGAAAATTTGAAGGTAATTTTGGAAATCAGGAGGATTTCTTCTATACAAATCACCTATCTTAATGCCAGAGAAATAAAAATATTTTTTTTGTTGGATATTGTTGTTATATGATGAAGAGGCTTGGTATAATCAATCAAATGCAACAAGACAGGCTAATTTCATTATTTGCATTAGCATTCTATATCTATTAAATGTATTTCTATGATTTGAGAAAATAATAAGTAGCTTTATATATAACCATTTAATGACTTGTTTGATTAATACCTGAATATTGTTAATTTTGTTTTCTATCATATTAAAAAAGTATGCTTAATTAAATGCTTAAAATATCAAAATTTAAGCATTTTATAACTATTTACACAAAAAATGATTTAATACAATAGATACATATGTTACAGACAATAATTTTAACCAGGTACATGGCAGATTTACCTTAAGAAAATTTTATACATACATACATACATAATATNCATCCTCCAATTTTTTAACTAGTTTTTTTTTTATATACTTACTTTAGGAAAAACATATTTATTGAAGCCAATAATGCTTTCAAAAAAGTTCAATAATATAAATGTAGCTTCTAAATTTGAAAAGATATTCCTGAATTAATTTTCAATTGAAACAACATAACTGAAAACTAACATCAGCCATTTTTCAACTTTAAATTAATGTATAAAAACAGAAATTACATTAATAAAAAAATCAATTTAAACCTAAATTACAAATTGGAACACATTATTTTGGAAATGGCAAATGTCTGAAGAAATTTTAATGATTGTGTGTGTATTTTATAACAGTGAATAACTTTCAATTATTTATAACTTGTTTAAAATTTTTACATACAAAATTAAACAACATTATTACTATACTCGATCATATATTACAACTAACAGTAGTAAATTACATTTTAAGATTAAAAATAGTCTCTACTGTATGTAAAGATAAACATTAACATAGTTCAGAATTGTTAATAGCAAGATATAATTATCTAAATTTATACTAGAACTGTTATAAAAACAACAACAAAATACAAGTTTATTCAATATTTCTGCTTTATTTTTCATTAAAAATTAACAGTACCACTTTGTAACTGAATATCAATTACTATCTAAGAAATATTTATATTCACCTCATTTATGCCATATTTAAAAAAATGCTCTGATTATAAACTTAACCGACACTTATTAAAGCATTAATAAAGTAACAGTAATCATCTACAGATGCAAATTGGCAAATATATTAAAGCTTGATAACCTGAATTTTTACAATTTGTAAGAAAAAATATAAATACAGACCCACCACCAATTTTCCAGCACCCCTGGCTGAACGTCCACACCCTTCCAACCAATTGGAGTCAAACGACAATTCAGCAGTATATCCTGGATCACAAATTACGTGTTTCTCGTGTCTCAAACACTATAAATTTGCTGGAAAGTTAACTATATATTGTTTATATATATATAAGTTAAATGTAACTTGACATTTGGGCTCTATCACGCCAGTTTCTTTTTCAGAAATCATAGCTAGGATTAAGTTTAAGTAAAATGAGTTAAAAATCATACAGAATAAAAGGATTGCTAATGACTGCAATGTAGACAATCCAAGTTAAATGCCACATACAATACCACTTGTGGCTCTGGAAGTAATGAAATTTTAAGTGTCTTCTCATGATTTTTATCATCTGGATTGAGAGAGGTGCCAGAGAACCAGTGGTGAACTTTCATCTAATTTTAAAGAAAAAAATAATAAAATTGGTAATGCAAGTTTTTATCACTGTTTAAACAATGAAAATATTTTATTATTTTTTTTACTGTTATACAGATTTTTTTATTATTTACTATACAATATTGTAAATTTCCTGACAGTATCTTTATTATTATTATACTGTGTAATTTTTGATATTAAAACATGATGAAAATAATAGTACATAAAAAATGCAACATTATCAATTGGGTAGAATGTCATTATCAAATTTTTTACATCTGATATTTTCTATTTGCATAATCTCAATCTTTGAGATATTTTAGTGTACAAACTGATATCTCTGAAGCACACCTTTGTTGTGAAACAGTTACACCATATTAACAAAAATTAAATATTATGTCATTGTGCCAAAAACTGGATTATGACGACAAATGCTGGGTCCGTATTCTTCATATGCAGCTTTTGTGTGACAAACCTGATAAAATTCTGGCTGTAATTTAAAAATAAAAAAATTATTTCATGGTAAAATAATTTCCACAACTGAATTTAAAGAAATCTGCTTCTATTTATTACTAAAAGGTTAAATTAATAACTAAATTGTAAAGCTGGAATCATACAAACATAAAACATGGCATTAATGATGCATTATATTGGTCAATATAATTTTGCAATAATAATTAATATCATAGCCAAATAACTTGAAGGCAATTGCCAAGTTAAGAAAACAAAAATATTTCTTAGCACTTAATTTTCAAAATAATTTCAATTAATTCTGAAACGAAATTACATTGATATGCTGAGACATTGTTAATGTGTTTTTTCAACATTTATATTTTACAAGTTATTATAAAATGGTGTAATTTTACTAATTTTTTAATATAAAAAAAAAACATGAATTATATAAACTTGTATTTTTTTTAATAATATGCAGATTATATCTATTAAATATAATAGATATAATCTGGATATTATGTCTATTATATAAAGGTAAAACCAACAAATAAAACAATAAACCTGCTTGATAAAATAAACATAAGCTTGTTTTTCATGTTTTATAATGTAAGTCAACTTTACCTCAGGCATTATGAAATTCAAAAGTACTTACTGTTGATGCTAACATGCTGCCTCCAAACCAAACAGCATAACGTTGCATATGATGAGAAATAACTTGAACATCAATTGGTTTAGGCTGAAATTTTGACAATTTTTAGTTCCATATTATTCACATAGATATTAAAAAACTTTAAATTAGAGAATAATCCTAGTACTGATTATGTACACATATTATATAACTTTTTGGATATCCAGCTCTATATTGAAGATATGAAAAAACCAGTAATGTTACATACCAGTTTAGTGAAGTTTAATAAAATAATTTTAATTATACTAGATCTAACCCATCAAAAATTATGGGAGAAGAAATGGAAAAAAGGTTTTCTGAATCTCAGCTATTTTTCTGTTCCCAGGATAACTATTCTTTCAAGTACTAGGATCAGGAAAATTATTTTCTAGCTTGATTTCATCTCAACACATTTTATCACCATTTTAATATATGTATGTAATTAATTAAATACACGTTTTAAATTAAAATAAAAAGTTCTGTTATAAAGATGATGTAGAATTAACACACAAAATACAAGTACCGTATTTACTCGCAGATAAGACGAGGTTTTTATTCATTTTTCATTGCTTCAAAAACCTAGGTTGTCCTATATGCACGAGTGAAGGATTCTTTACGTTTTTGCAATAATTTTTGTTAAATAACGGTGTGTTTGCATTTTTTACTGCATGTTCACCCTCTGGTGTTTAAAAACAAAAGAATTTTATCTGTGTCATTTCAATCGTTCTTGTGTATTGTCAAGAGTAAAGATGAATAGCAATAAGAAAAGCAAAGCTTTTGAATTGAATTCCAATTTGAAATTCCAAAATCACACAGGAGCCCGATATAAGTTTTAATCCATTCCCACATGAAAACAGATGATTATTCAGAAATCAGAATTCAAAGAAACTCATAAGTGTAATCGACGGAGAGTGAATTCGACTGTTAAGTATTGGCAAAAAAGGTTCCCGATTGTCCAACTTTACATGAACAAATTATGTTTTCAATTTTACAAGATTTTTTTTTAAAGTTTAAAATGACAGTAATTTTTGCAGGACAATGTGTGCATTTGAC